AAGAGAACCCCCAGTCTCCGGGCACAGACCGACCTTCCTCAGCAGGTTACAGATCCTTTCGATGTTCTTGATGCGTTCTCTCTGCGGAGAGAGGGAGGGGAGGGTGGGATAGAGGGATGAACAGAGAGAGAGAGAGACGGGGCAGCCGAGGAGGAGAGAGGGATCGTGAGCCAGGGGAGAGGAGAGGGGGGAGAGGGAGATGGAGAGAGAGACGTTACTTTTCTAATGTCCACGCAGAGCTATAGTCTCCCCTGGTTGTCGTGAGACCCCCCCCGCCCCCCCTCCTCCTCTTCCTCCACCATCCACAAATTCGCAAAAGGTATGTCAAGGGAACATGGGGGAACATGAGGGGTGAGGTCAAAGGTTAAACACTGCTAACAGATCCCATCTGTAAGCCGCCCCCCAACCCCCAGTCCTCCTCATCCCTGGGCACTGAGCCAGCACACAGCTGAGCTGCAGTCTGAGTGCATTCGTCAATCCCGTACGCTGCTAATTAGTGGCAAGACAACGAGGTAACAGCGGCCATATTCATGTGAGAGGAGGGCGGAAGCAGACGGGAGGAGGGAGGGAGAGGGTGATGAAGAGGAAGAGTGAAAGTGCAGAAGGGAGGGAGGCCCACAGTCACTGCGCTTGAAGGGTAAAGACTCTCGTACCAAAGCAGACATCTGGAGGAGAGAGACAGGAGAGAGAGAGAGACAGGAGAGGGAGACAGGAGAGGGAGAGAGACAGGAGAGGGAGAGAGACAGGAGAGAGAGGAGAGAGACAGGAGAGAGGAGAGAGACAGGAGAGAGAGAAACAGGAGAGGGAGACAGGAGAGAGAGAGAGACAGGAGAGGGAGACAGGAGAGGGAGAGAGACAGGAGAGAGACAGGAAAGGGAGAGAGAGATAGGAGAGACAGGAGAGAGACAGGAGAGGGAGACAGGAGAGAGATAGGAGAGGGAGACAGGAGAGGGAGAGAGAGAGGAGAAAAACAGGAGAGAGAGATAGGCAGGAGAGAGAAAGACAGGAGAGAGAGAGACAGGAGAGGGAGAGAGACAGGAGAGAAAGAGACAGGAGAGAGAAAGACAGGAGAGGGAGAAACCAGAGACAGACAGGAGAGAGAGAAACAGGAGGGAGAGACAGGAGATAGAGAGACAGGAGAAAGAAAGAGGAGAGACTTGTGTCAGTACAGAACCCTCTCGCCCCATCTCTTCCTCATTTCCCTCTCTCTGTGTCCATCCCTCCCTGCCACTCACCATCTCCCAGTGTCTCCCTTACTCCCACTCCTCCTCTCCCTCTCTCCCTCTCTCCCAGCCCCTCCCCCTCTCCCCTCTCCCAGTCTCCCTCCCCGGCACTCTCCACAGCTTGCTCATTCCTCCCAGTGCTCCCAGTGAGAGCTCACCGCGCGGGCTGGGTTGCACTGGTCGATGGGGTTCTTGAAGTCTGTGCGCAGCTCGTCAAAGGCAATGATCTGCGAGAGACAGGAGCAGAGTCACAACATCACAGAGACCCCCCCAGCAGCCCCCGATATCGAGCCTTTCATCCTGAAGGGCTCGACTGGAGCACTGGAGCTGGCAAGCCAAAGACAATAGACCAGCTATAGCTGATCAATACAGATCGAAGATTGAGGAGCAGGTCTGGGAAGCTGACGTAGAGCTCAGTGTGAACTGGAGTAGAGTTCAGTGTGAGATAGGAGTAGAGTTCAGTGTGAGACTGGAGTGTCTCTCTCTCCTCCTCCATATTTCACTCTTCTCCCTCCTCCATCTCCCCCTGTATCTGTCACCCCCCACCACCACCACCCCCCCGCCCAGAGAGCCTCAGCTGTGTGTGCAGAGGTGAGCAGGCATCCACAATTGACACAGGCCCTGCTCTGTTGTAAACAGATGCAGTTGCCACGGCAACCAGATGAACACTCCACCGAGCGCCATGGATACTATAGAACCAAGCGAGAGATTGGAGACTGGGAAGGGGTGGAGGGGGGAGAGGGGGGGGGGCTGGGTTATGGATGGAACACAATTATGTTTCAATAAAAACCCATACACACACGCGGAGGCACGCACACACACACGCACTCCGTCACGCCAGAAAGAAAACATAACACACACACGCACTGTTCATGCTGGCCTGAGACACACCGGGATGCAGCCAGGGAACTGGTGCTGCCCTGAGACAGATGTGCCAGGCAGGGATGGAGGAGTGGGAGAGGGGCAAACCAGACTCAAGGAGAAACAGAGCTCGATGACGTACAGGCTCAGTGAA